CAAATCTATCAAAAAATTTACATCATACGTTTTATTTTCCAATTTAGAATAAATTCGAATTTCATCATTAATTATGTTTGGTGCCTGTATTAGTTAATGATCAACATTATCCGTTATATCGAGATATTTTTATTATGGTCGAACATATAGATTTTTAAAAAAAAATCCGCTAAATCGAATATATATGAAAAATCCGTTAAATCCGTTAAATCGAGATAAAATAATTATAGAAGAATTTGGTTTTGAAAATTTATCCGTTAAACCCCTAAATCCGCTAAATCGAGATCCGTTAAACCGAGATACACTGTGTACATTGTTAATTGTCTCATTTCTTCACGAACCGCCCATAATAACTGATAATGTAATGCTAATTCTGAAGCGCAGAGACCATCGGGTCTATACATATATTCAATGAATTTACGTTGTATTATTGTACATGCTCGAATTTTCTTACCAATTTCTCTGGCACGTTTAACTTTTCTGATAGTATTCTGCATCCATAATTCATAACGGTGTAATGCATACTCGTTATCATAATTATATCCTGAAATAGATTTTTGTTTGATTTTCAGCAAATATTCGTCATAATTTACTCCACAATATGCATTTCCTGTACAATGGGTAGCCCAATGTTTTTCCATTCTTATGTGATTATAATTTCCAATATTTTTGGTTCGTTTTCCGGTATATACTAATTGATTACAAGAGAAGCAGATAGCAATACCAATTTCAGGTGCATAGCTTTTATAAAATCCATTAACCTCAGACCAATATGTTATTAACTTCCTAGCTTCAAGATATTTTTTGCTATTAGTAGGTAGGAGATTATTCTCTCTGAAATATTGTAAGCGAGACCAAATTCGATTCATCCATTCGGTAGGAGTCTCATTCGATGAAACAATACCCATCTCCAGAATTTCATCCCATTTAGCATCGGTACAATTGGTTCCACGTTTTTCACTTAAACTAACCATCTATCTTATGAAACCTATTTGTAGTGTTTATGAGAGTTATATATGATTTGTATTGTATTTAAGGATTTAGATCTATTAGATTTGATATCTTATATATATGATTAAAACTAGATTCATTTTTTGTGTAGATGTTCGAAGAGCGCCCCATAGGGCCTGGGTTGTTGAATGAGTTATGTATATTCGTCATATTTTGCGAGTGAAATATATGATGAGAATGGGATTGGGTTGTAGCAATTCTAAAGAATCTATTTGTGGTGATATTTATATAGAATCGCTTGTATATATATTATGATCTATTTTTCCAGCAATAGGAATGTACGACACTCACCATTTGAGATCATCTGGTCCGAGATAGACAAATCCGAGATATGCAAATCCAAGGCATACGTATTCGGTTAATTATACTACTTTTATGTGAAAAAAAAAGATTTCTAAGATTAAATCACTTATCTTCTGCCACCTGTAATTGCGCCTTCCAAACGTCTCCCGATTATATTTGCTTCAAGCCTCGTTTCATAGTTGATATCGATTTTTGTGTCGTATGAAATGAGTTTGTATGAAAAAATATACCATCAAAGCTCGTAAACTGGAGTATTTAACAAAGTTAACAATAAAAAAAAGATACCATTATCTCAGAAATGGCGATAAATAGCGGAACTAGCACGGCTAAAATTGTAGTAACATATTATATTCTAACGATATCCGGATATGTGAGATTTGCATAATAATCTGGATTCTCGATCCATTTTACCATAATATACCAAGATTTTCCTTGAACTATTTTGTAACCTCGTTCTATTAATAACTCTTCGACATGATCTCCTAATCTATAAATTAATAGGTGTTTTTTGGATTCTGCCCAAAGTTTAGGAGAATTGTAATGCCAACATAATCGTCTTGATTTATAGTCAATATAGCCATAACCATAAGATCCATTTACCTTATAGGAAGATAAAGGAGTTACGCCTAAAAATTTCTTATCGTCAGGGTAATCATCCGTTTTTAGATCATTCCAAACTTTGGATGCTAAGGATTCGGGTCTTTTCTTATAATTTCTCCAAGCAGTTTGTGTAATTTAAAGATTTACTAATATTAGAAA